AGAGAGAGAGAGAGAGAGAGAGAGAGAGAGAGAGAGAGAGAGAGAGAAGATGACTAACACAATAAAAACTCAACAACAGCTGCTGCTTTCCTGCTGCTCTGCTGCTGCTGCTCTGCTGCTGATGCTGCTCTGCTGCTACTGTTCTGCTGCTGCTGCTCTGCTGCTGCTGCTCTGCTGCTGCTGCTTCTACAGGCTCTGCATGAAATCATCGATGTAGCTGTGACTCGCGATAGACAAGGAGGAGGGGGGCCCCCAGGGGAAGGGGATCAGCAGCAGCAGGGGCCCCCTGATGAGGCCCCTGGTGATGACCCCGCTGCAGCAGCAGCAGCAGCAGCAGCTGCTGCTGCTGCTGGTGCTGCTGCTGCTGGTGCTGCTGGTGGTTCATCAGCAGAGCAGCAAGCTGAGGCCCACAGCAGGAGAGAAGAGACAGTACTGGGGCGAGAGATGCTGCTGCTTAAGTATGATATTTGTTCTGTTAAGACACCAACAGCTGTGAAGAAGACACCCGGGCAGTGGACGTATTGCTCCATACATAGAGGAGAATGGAGACAGGAGACAGCAGGCAGGAGAGAGGAGACAGCATAAAGGAGACAGCAGACAGGAGAGAAGAGACAGGAGACAGGAGACAGCAGGCAGGAGACAGGAGGCAGGAGAGAGGAGACAGCATAGAGGAGACAGGAGACAGGAGAGAAGAGACAGGAGACAGGAGAGAGGGGGCAGGAGAGAGGAGACAGCATAGAGAAGACAGGAGACAGGGGGCAGGAGAGAGGAAACAGGAGAGAAGAGACAGCAGACAGGAGACAGGAGACAGGGGGCAGGAGAGAGGAGACAGGGGGCAGGAGAGAGGAGGCAGCATAGAGGAGACAGGGGGCAGGAGAGAGGAGACAGGAGAGAAGAGACAGCAGACAGGAGACAGGAGACAGGGGGCAGGAGACAGCACACAGAAGAGAAGAGACAAGAGACAGGAGACATCAGACAGGAGACAGCAGAGAGGAGACAGGAGACAGCAGACAGGAGACAGGAGACAGAAGAGAAGAGAGAGGAGACAGAAGAGAGGAGACAGGAGAGAAGAGAGAAAGGAGACAGTAGATAAAGGAGAAGCAAAAGAAAGGAGACAGGAGAAAGGAGACAGGAGAAAGGAGACAAAAAATAAAATACAGTTTCTTATAAAGCAAAGACACCGCAGACACTGAGGTGTCTCCTCTGTCTTTGTTTTTTTATTTTTGTCTCCGTTTGTTTTTTCTTTTGTTTATTTCTCTTTCTCTTTTTCTTTGTGCTCCTCCGTGTCTTTGTTTCTCTCTGTCTTTCTCTCTGTATATATATGCCTATATATATATATATATATATATATATATATATATATATATA